ATACAACAATAACCACAATAATTTGTTGGGTTTTATTTTGTTTGTTTAAGGTGAATTAGTTTAATATTACTTTTGGGGTACATAACTAGAAGAGAGTAACATATGTATAACAGAATTTTGATGAGTAACAGAGAGGTAAAACATCTGGATGAAATTACCTTTATTTAATTGGGTAATAAATGTCGATAATTAAAAAAAATCGGATAAGGAAACTAGTAGAATTATTGAATTGGGTAATAAATGTCAATAATAAAATAAAATAAAATCGCTTAAGGAAAGTAATAGAAACAAAAAAATCCCTAGAATCCCTAAAAAACATTCTATGTTTTTGTAGTCGGCAGATCTCAAAAGCAACGAAAGTTTGTATAGTTGACTATATTCTTTTTTTTTGTCGTTAGCTAAAATTTCTACTTTATATAGTTGACTATATTTTTACTTTTTGTGTTGTTGTAGTTAGCTATTCAATAAATAATATAGTGTACTATATAATTTGTACAGTAATTAATTCAATTGTCAACTTTTTAATAACATGTTTAACTATTTTCAAAAATAGATATTTAATTGATGTCAAAATATAGTTAACTACGTCACATTATTTTGTCACTATATCATATATCAATACATTATGAACTATTTTTCAAGAAATAGTTATCAATTTAAAAACATAGTTAACTATATTTTCAGAGCATAGTTATCTATTATACTAATTTCATGATATAATTGACTACATGAAAATATGGTTGTAATAGTTACTTATTTAAACAAACATAGTTAACTATTATAGTTTGCATAATAAAAAAAACATACATTTTTAACTATTATCAAAAACATAGTTTCATATTACGACGAAAAAACAACATAAATAGTTAACTATTATAAAAAACATAGTTACCTATAATAGTGATTTCCACAGATAGTTAACTATGTCAATATGTAGTTTGACCAATTGAAAAGACAAGACGGAACAGAAGAAACACCATCTTAATCTATTATTGGAGATTTTGATCATTGGCAAAAGAGATAGCACAAAGTAATTGAAAGAGAAGAAAAAAATGCGAATTGGAAAATTTAATATT